AGTATGGTTTGATTGTGTCACCATTAGATAGTGCTGCAATTAGTCAGAATTATTCCCCTCCAAAACATCAGGAAAATTCAACTGGAGCTGAAAAATGAATAAATAAATATTGCAAATTCATCCTATGTAAGTATGCAGTGGGTGTGAATGGCTGCTTTGAGAATATTTGTGTCCATCAAATTTAATGCATGAAATAAACTGATTTTGCACGTCCAGCATGTAGAGGCCTTTATTCTGGTAATTTTCGCATATGTATTGTGGTCTAAAACTCTGGTTTTTCACAGTAAACAATGAGTACAGTGTGTGAGGCAAGCTACCGCTGACTCGCCTTTCGCTATCATTAGCAAGTAAACAAGATTAGCATTGTACTAGATGAGCATCTTGGCCAACTGGTTAGATGCAGAGAAAACGGAGTATGAAAAGTCATTAATAACTCCTTTAGTACATTAAAAATGAAAGCTATGACCATGATGGTGACGGGACGGCAGCTGTGCCGACTTCCGATAACATAAAACAGGCAAGTTGATCAAACTCAGGCTAATCCAACAACTTCAGATCAGCATCTATGAAAATGTCTGAATGTTATGTTTAAACAGCTTTTTTGCCAACATTCCACCTTCATTTTTCATTCCTTGATTTTAATCCTACCTGTAGATATTAGCGCTAATCATCAAATTTTTAATTCAGCTCACTTTTTTGTAATGGATATATTTTAGTATACTTACAAAAACCAGATGTAGGCGTGTGTTTCTGCTAGAAATATATTCTGTCCAAAAGCATAAAGCTGTGTACTCACATATTACTGTGACGTTGACTTTGTCCTTCAGGGTATTATTCATATATTTAGCTGTGCAGACGTACTGTCCAGCATCTCCTGCTGTTACATTGGTGATGACAAGATTGGGTGATCCAGTGTCAGCGTGAAGCTTTTCATTGGAACCAAGTTTAGACCAAATAATCAGAGATGGAGGGAAACTGTGAACATTGCAGGTCAGATTCAGAGACTCACCGTCTCTGACAGTTGTAACACCAGTGATGTTAACCTCCTTCACATCTATGAAACAAATACACATAAATCACAATCATGTAGTTTCCATAAAATTCTTGCAAGTGAAAAGATGATCCTGTAAAATAAAATTGATTTTAGGGGGGGAAAGTCAACTTAAGGTTGTAAAAGTACACACAGTTTACTTTCAAACCTGAAGTCTTTTCTGCAGTCACGTCACTTGTGAAGTGGATTTTACAGGTGACATTGGTGTTGTGGTGTTCAGCTGAAGGGTTAAAGGTCAAAGTTGAGATGTGTCTCCGTGTAACATTAGTTAGATTCTCAGTCTTGTAATCAGTGCTGTTTCCTGTAATGTAAGATTCAGTCCCTCCTGCTCCTCTCC